AAATCTCTTATATATAATGTGTCTCCACTTCTTTGTATGGAAAACAATCCAACCAAATTTGCAGATTGTTGGGAGCATGACAAAGGAGCAGAAGAAAGTTCTCCTTTTCTTCTGGACCTCGATTAAGCATCTTCCGTGCGAGGGTTTCAGTGGGTTGGCTTCTCGACTTTACATCTACAAGAACTCTGAGTCGTCTGATCGGCTGCCCTCGTCCCACACATGCTTTTATCGGCTCTGTTTTCCGGCATACCCCACAATGTCTCTAATGCGTGATCGGCTTCGCATTATCACCCAGGAGCATGTAGGTTGCAGCTTTGGTACTTGGTAAAAGATAAAAAAACGCAAGAAATCGGGCGATTTTAGGATCGTGCACATAAGTTAGAAAAATCTGTGGTAGTTTTTTTTGTACATAAAATGATAGATGATTGTCTTTAAGAAAGTCTTTTCTTGTGGCTTGGCCTTTGTGTAAGGAGGTGTTAGCAAACATGCCACACCGGCCAATGTTTCTTTTGACAGAGATTGTAATGTTTTTAGTGTCCTCTTTTGAAACAATTGGTAAGGTTTATTGAGTTAATTTAAAAGGCAAGTAAAGATGGGATTCGGATTTATTTATTTATTTATTTTTGTCGCTATATTTGTTTGTTTATTTTGTTTACATTTGCCATAAAATCCACTCAAATATATTTACATCGAGATTTCCAAATATTTGTCACACACTTGATGTTGGTGCATTTGATGGTAAAGTAGAAGAGAGTGAAGCGTATTTTTTTTTTTTTTTTAATAACATTAACAAATTATTGAGCTACATGCTCCGAACCATTACCAAAAAAGGAAGATAAGAAAGACGGGAGACAATCCTTTCATAAAAAGGGTCACGTCGACAACACCACCCGACTAGCTAGGTGATGGGCGACAAAATTCTGATTACTGTCAACGTGACAGAAGCGATAAAATGTCCGCAAAGACTTAAAACGAAGCATCATTAGGCGAAAGCTCCGACAAGAGTAAGGCTACAAGTACATAATATTGTACATAGGAATGTACATAACACTCACATTGAGTGGACCCACCAAAAAATAAAAAATTAAGTGGACCCCACTCTATGTGAGTGTTATGTACACCTATATGTACATTTATTATGTACTTGTAGCATTTTCCCGCCGGCAAACCACAAATAACGCCTAAGGCGTCCTGTCTTGGCATATTGGAGTGATAGATCCGAATCAAGAGGAAAACGGAGACCATACCTTAGAGCTAGAGCTTCGACTACAAGTGATAAAAAGAGCCTGGGATGCAAACTGCAAAAGCAGACCAACACAAACCTTCTGAGCCGCCTATCCAGCCTCCCAATCCAATCGCTGAGTCTCGTACCGCGGCGTCGCAAAATAACATAAGACCATTGTGACAATTCCCTGGACCGACCCACCTATAGATAGTTGGTGTAAGCAAAACACGTTCTAGAGAAAGTCGCCTCGAACGCACTTTATTAGCTTCCTCTTGCCACGCAATCCCTACTGACCATGCTTGCTCCACCGTTTTGCCTTGCAATCCGTGTTTGATACGGTTCCATTCATGCCAAATGATCCACAATAGGTAAGCAAAAAGTGGAAAATCATCTCCACGGTCGCTACTCAGGATATGACAAAAGATAAAAGAGAAACTTGAACCCCGTAACGGACCAATTGTATCCCACCAACCCGAAATTTTTCACAACTTCTTAATCCAAGCGCAATCAAAGAAAATATGAATATTAGATTCCCAACCCGCACATCTGGGACACTTTGCATCATGAAAATAGCTATTTTCACCCCGTTTTAAAGTCCTGTTAAGTTTTTCACACCGCCTAATAAAACGCTATGTTTTTCACCCCAAAAAGTGCTAAAGACATTGTGCGATGAATATGCGACAATTGCGCGATGACATTGTGTGAAAGTTAAAAGTGCGAAGGCATTCGCATATCCCTTCACACTTTCTGGGGTAAAAAAAAAGTTAAAGTGCGAAGGCATTGTGCGATGAATATGTGACAGTTATGCAGTCCATTCTCATAACGTTCACACTTTTCGGGGTGAAAAACTTAGCTTTTTATTGGGCGATGTGAAAAATATAATGTATCTTTGTATTGGGGTGAAAAAGATTTTTTCCCCTTTGCATCCACCCCAATGTGCCTCCTAGCAAGATTTTTCGCTGAAGGAATTGCCGAGTTACACACCTTCCATAGGAACATTTTGATTTTTGGTAAAATATTCAATTTCCACAAAGTACTCCACCACGAGGTGATTTGTGAAGAGGAAGAGGAATCCATGTTACCAGATGATCGTTGCTTGAGCAGATGTTATCCACTATTAGTATTTACTGTGTAATCCCCGTTTTTTGAGTGGTGCCAAATGATTCGATTAGGATGACGATATCGACTAAGAGGGATTGAGAAGATTTTTTGTGCGTCGATTGGCAAAAACACTCTATTAATTAATTCATGATTCCAATCCCCATTCCGTCCAATAAGATCGCTGACTCTATCAATGCCCGCCGAAAAGTGTGAGATAGGCCGTAAATATTTTAATGCATGCAATCAACATCTTATATTTTTTATTATTTTTATTTTTATCTATCTCTCTCTCTCTTACTTCACCTAAAGTTGAAATATAGAGGATCTATTGTCGTGATTGAACTGACAACATTATTGATCATATTAAGGAGCTTGATCATAGTGCTTTGAATATCTTACTGGTTGTCACATTGGGCGAGCTACCAGTACGCGTTTCAGCCGGTTCAACCCATTTTACAATTTTATCCTTCTTATAATAAATATAAAATTAATTTATTATTATAATATAATAATGTACAAAATCAACTTTAGTAAATAATAAATTAAGTCACAATCTAATAACAATATAAATATATTAAAATTAAGTGTAGAACTTTCAATTTTAATAAATAAATTAATATATATATATATATATATATATTTAAAAAAAAATCCGATATACTGGGTATTTTGGCAGGTATTCTTAGGTAAAATAGTATTTTTCGGTGTGAAACCAATGTAAAACGATATTTTGGCCAAAATAGTACTTAGAGAAAAACTGTACCGACAGGTACGATAAGATATATAAATAAATAATAACGAGAATAGCATTTGTAGTTTGAATAACCTCGAGTGTTTGTATAATTCTTTTGATGTCTTTTCACAAAGTAGTAAGGAGAATAGCCTTTGTAGTTTTCAATATTTTACGACGATTAGAATAGAGTTATTTGATTACATGGCCTTCGTAGCATAATGTTTTCGCATCAATATGACTAGAACAGTTTGAGGAAAGGGCATTTAAAGTGATATAGCTTTTAAGTCGATATTATGGAGTGACCCAGCTCGACAATTTTTTCTTGTCGGTGCTCGAGCTCGAGCCACCGCTGCGGCCACAATTCTATCTTTGCTCTTCATCGGTGAGCTGAATAACCTGATCTTTCCTTTCTTGTTGTTGAGGTTGGTCGAGCCTTGAGTACTCATAGATATTGCGCATCGACTTCCCTCAGTGGTCTCTTAACAACCATTTGCCTTTGTCCATCTACTACCCTAGTTCTTTACGAAACAACCAGTTGATGGCTCATGTCTCGCTGTAGGTCGTGTCACAACATTCACCACATGGGTCAAGGCGGTGTATTGCCTCGATAGTGTCACATTGGGTGTGGCTTGCCTACTAGTTTGCTTCGACCAGCCAGGTGAGGGCCCTGTGCCTAAAGGAGGTTGAGATACCCACGCCTCCTCTATATCGTTTGTCAGATTCTTCTCAG